CTTCTCCAGTTGATAGTTTCTGGACAAAGATCATTATAAATTTCAACTGTGGTATCCCTATATTTCAGTGATCTTCAGAGTTTCCTGGTTTCTTTTATTAAAAGGTCTTTCTTATAAAAGCTTGTTACTCTCAAGATTACATCTCTGGGAACCAGGCTTCTTTCTAAAGTTGTTTAGAAAGCTCTGTGTAGATGTTTCACTTCCTGTTCTTCCCAGGTAATTTGAGGAACAATACTTTGTAGTCATGTGAGAATTTTCTTCTTCAGGGTCCTTGGTGTTCCATTTGCCAACTCAGGAAAACCACAGATATGAAGGTTATTTCTTCTGTTGTGGTCTTGCAGGTCAATGAGTTTTCATTCTAATTGGTCCAGTCTTGATGAGTGCTCCAAAGTTATATTTTGCTGAGCTTTTTGTTCTTCTTGTATTGAGTTTACTTTTTTTCCACTCTTTCAATTTCTTTTTTTTAATAATCAGAATAGATTTATTTATTTCAACCGTAATTTTATTAATTATTGTCTCTGATAGTGTTCCATTATTTTTAATGATTATCTTTTTAAAAGCCTCATTGCTTTTGATTTGGTTTTCTGTTAACACCTGCAAGAACCACTTTTTTTCATTTCATCTCCTCTGCTATCTTCACTGTCTGGCTGTGTGCCTGGAACTTTAGGCTTAACTCTGTTTTTTTGCATTGTATCAATGGAGCCAAATTTAGCTTTTTGCATTTCTTTATTATGGGCCTCAAAATTCTCTTGTGAGTTTACTCTTCTTAAACATGCATATGCTTTGTCTGATGGATGTACAGATTTTCTGTTCCAACTTAAAACTGTTTCAGTTCTCTTTTTTGACTTTTGAACATCTGCCAATGTCTAATCAATGTTGTGTCTCAAATTGCCAACATACAGTTTATTATATTTTTCTCTCTGTTTTTAAAGTAATATTTCAATATTTCAGTTCTTCAAATCCCACACAATCCAATACATTTGTTTCAAACTGTTTTACTTTGCTTTTGTTTTATAAATCTTAACCCCAATCAGCTTAGCAGACAACTGGCCAGCAATTACCAAAGATAAAAATGCCACTTATTTATCTTTCTTCTCATTAAATCATTAATTAGGCAGTTCCACTCTATTCTTTAAATATCAAACTGCATTCATTTGACAGTGTATATATTTCTTTCTGTTTTATACCTCTTTATTATTTATTATAAGAATTTGATTGTGTTTTTAGATCTATTAATATTTATTTGTCACTCATTCTTTGGAGGAAGAGGAAGACCCAGTCGCAGCTAGTGATTTTCATGTCCAGGGCATTGTGAATTTGTCCTGGGTTTTGGTCCAAACTTTAAAGGAGCAACCCCTGATGCTGAGCCTATTTTGAGAGTTGTGTTCAACATCTGGGGCAGCAGTTTAAAGTTGAGGCTAGAACTGAGAGTAGATTCACCACTGCACTGACAATGAAGCCACCAACTTCAACTGATAAGAACTAAAAAAAAAACAAAAACCTGAGAGCTATGGAGGGAGAACTGCTTCTCTTTTTAGTTTAATCTAGTGACAGTATTTCTGTCACATGTAGTTTGGTCCTTATCCTGGCCTTTAGAAAACTGCTTATTCTTCACACACACATATTAGCCCCATTCCCTTTGCCCGGGATTTTTTTCTTTGTCCAAACTCTGATGGTCAGTCACTCAAAATTGCTTCTACATATCTACATATCTAATAAAATGTAGCTCTCATTAAGAGACATAAATGGACTATTCAGAGTTATTTAATCAGCCTGACAAAGGAGTAGCCAGCCAATGGTCATAACATCCTTTTCATATGCCTGCATAAGCTTTCTTCTTGTGTCAGATGCAACCAGATGCCATCTCTATCATTTCAAATGAGCAGTGAGGCTGACATCTAGAAGATTTCCTGAGTAGAGGCTGAAAAGTATAAGCTTATTTTTTTAAAAGTTCTCAATTATATGTTTGAATTACTTCCTCCCTATAAAACTCAAATAATCACAGAGATTATGAGAAACTTGCATCCAAGTTCTATAGCTGGCAATAGCAACTATAAGTGCAATACACAATCTAGAATTAGGCTTGCTGGTGATGTGTTTTTAAAAAGCAATTATGGTTTTTAAAAGAATACTGTAATTATAGGCTACCTACTGTGCTATTATAGACAAGACAATATATATTTTGAAGTTGATCAAATTTTATAATTGCACCATTTTCATATTGTTGGCTCAAGAGAGCTCCCAGATGTTTTTCAAATTATCCAACTTCTGCATCTTCACAGGATATATATGCCTGAGGGAGAGGGTTTTGTGGAATGTATACAAGGCATGTATATAAAAAATCAGCTGCCCAGGGAATCGGGTCTGGGAATGGGAAATATAACATTATAACTCTGTCTTGAAAACTTAAGTTGCATTTGATTGATGGTATCAGCTGAGTTGGCTGCTAGCTTTTCAAGCTGATTGCTATGATTTTAGTGGTAGGAGAAGTATAATTTGTAGGGTCACATTTAATAATTAATTATAATTTCAGAGGAGGGGCAATCATTTTGACATGCATATATTTAGCACAAAGCCACTCAATTTTAATGAATGGTAGGAATTCCAGTGTTCAAAAGAAGTTTTAGCTGGCCAAATGAATAAGGGAGTGTTTATTGTGAAACCTCGGAAAGGAGACTTGAAGGACAAGGGGTTCAGGAAACAGTGAGGAAAGGGGAGAACTATGGCACAGGGCAGAATGGTTGCTGAGATGCAGGGAAAACTTTGTTTCACATCACAATTGAAGATAAACACTGTCAATATGTGCACAAAAACCAACACAAAAACTGATCTTTATGTGAAGCTTAAGGTAAATATACTAATGGGCCAGTGCAGGAGAAAAGACATTTGTCCAATTATACAGGAGTCAAGATCAGAGAAAGTGTCTTGAAAGAAGATCTGAAAATATGGCTGGTTAACTAGACATCTTTTTTTTAACTAGCTTCTGTTCTTTTTGTCCATTATCAAACATTACTGATGGGTCATGCAGAGTGCAAGGAAACAGATCTTCAAAGCCTGTTATTATAGACATGTAAATACACACATACACCACATCTCCAGGCTATACAACTTTCTCAAGCTCAAGCAACTTTTTAAAATCATAGAACAAATTGAAAATACAAATAAAATACAAATTCAAGGTAAGAGCAAACATCAAATATCTCCCTAGTTCCCAAACTGTCATGCAAAAGAATGATTGCTTCATAGGTTGCTACTGACCCAAGTCTGTCAACATATTCAATTAATTTTGAAATACTGTATTCGATAGGCAAAAGGCCTCAGTCCTCCATTCAGCTATTCTGTACCAAAGGGAGTAAAAAAAAAATGAACTGAAAATGTACTCAGCCCTGGTCATAAACCCCAGCTGAAATGGGTAGAAAATGGTTCTATTTTTT